TCAGTGTGCGGCAGTGTACAGAGGTGTCATCTAAACACAGGGACTCCGTCTTTCTACATTATCTCACTGTGAGCACACTCAACCTGGGGTCAAGCAGATTAATAAAATATCACACACACACACACACACACACACACACACACACACACACACACACACACACACACACACACTCTCAAACTGAGCTGCTATCTGATTAAATATTCTGCCGCCCTGCACTTCATAATCATGACAAGTACATGCAGCGCTCAGGCCGACCATTATCCATTTAGCACATTTTGGTCTTGTCTTGCAATAATCTGCTCAAACCCCAAGTGAGCTTATTATTGTCAAGGAAAAGTGCTTATAGCTACGCGTAAGGGTAGGATTTTGGAAAGATGCAAAATGTATTTTGCACATGGAATTAATAGTGAAAAAAGGACTTCCCACCAATATGAATTTATGGGCTCTAAATGTAACCTGCAGTTGAAGTGCTTACTGTTTTTAAGATCAATGCTTATTATTTTTCTGCAAATAATTAAACCGCATTCTGTTTTGTTATGATATAAAAGGATGGTTAAGGCGTTAGGTTAAGGAGCAGCTCTGGTGCTAATATGACTGTAACTGTGGCCTACATAATTCATTGACTCCTAGGGAATGAATCTCTCGGGATGAGGTTTGCCTTTACCTGGTTCCCTCTACATCGTCGTCTCAAGAGACGATTCAGAGAATAATAAAAGAGATGGGGTATTTCGTCATGCAGTGCATGATAAAGTCCTCTTTAGAGTTATACAAAAAATAAGTGAAGTGACAAAGATTGGAACCTTTTTGTCTTTTAAATATGAACCATGATAATAATAATACATCATATGTATAGCGCATCATGGATCATTCATTTGTTTCCTTGAGGATATGGTGGTAACATTTCTTGAGTTATAGTTCCTGCCATAAAACAACCTGAGATAATTTGAGACATTAAAAGTGAGCAGGAGCACTTGGCCTTAATATACTGTAGGAATAGATGTGCTCATACTCTAACCATACTGATAGTACTGTACTGTGCACATTATGCCTTCAATTCATTCAGCTGCTGTGTGACACTTTTGGACTTATTTGCCATTAGGCTTCGTTATTATGTGTTATTGCTTTCTTCTTATAATCAAACAGCACCCACAGATTGATTAAGTGTCATCCAATCTAAACATGTTCTCGTTCTTTTGATAGATGTCAAGAACCTGGAGAACTTTCACCTCGTGGAGAGTGTCCAGGAGCAGGTCAACGCAGCGCTGCTGGACTACGTCATGTGTAACTATCCGCAACAGACAGACAAGTTTGGCCAGCTGCTCCTCCGGCTGCCAGAGATCCGAGCCATCAGCCTGCAGGCCGAAGAATACCTTTACTACAAACACCTGAACGGGGACGTGCCCTGCAACAACCTGCTCATTGAAATGCTTCATGCCAAGAGAGCTTAGGAGAGGACTACGCTACCCATAATGCAGCTGTGCAAACATCTTGAGTTCTGCTGCTGCACACAAACTCCAAATAACTGAACCTCCATCTCAAAGTTGTGATGACCTGGAGGATGGAGAGCAGAGACTCATAGCAACTCTTGTTTATATAAAGCTCATTTAGATTATCAAGTTACAACTTGGAGTACAGATCTGGACAAACACTCATTCACAGAGACAAATAATGTGTACACACTAACAGTATATGGATCCCTTTATTCTATTAAAAAAAAGTCTGAAAGAAGAGCCTCTTCTCCTCAACCACAAAGACAATATTAAAAGCAAGAAGAGAAAAACACTTGAAACAAACGTGGCTCAAGATGGGATCCTTTTGTCTGCACGAGCACACAATATCAAAACTGGCAGGTTGAAACTTAAGAATGAACAACCCTTAAATGTTTTGGCACTGGTGACATTTTGAGATGCCATTTGTGCTAAGACAGGAACCTGAGAAACACCACCCATCTTCAGACGGACAGCTTTGTGACTAGAGCGGGGGCTTTTTTGGTCGATGATCCTCCGGATGCTCTTCCACTGAAACCAGCTTTTAGCTGTTGTTGGTACTGTAAAGACGAACGGACAGCCAGTCAACCAGGCCAAAGACTCTAACTTACTGTCACATCTGTTTTTCAAACTCACAAAAGATGCCTGCCACGGCAGCTTGATCTGACTGAAATGGAAGAACTGAAAGAAAAAAAAAAAGTCTAAAAAAGAAACAGTCTTTATTGAACAAAATGATAGATAGGCCAATAAGAAGAAAAAAAATGAGTTTTCTTTTTCTCTTGTAATGGAAGTCATTTGCTCCTCATGGTCATATTGTCGTACCCGTTTCTTATTCCACCTCCCTGAATCATCTTAAACTATGTACCTCAGAAAGACCAGTGTTAAATAAATTCAATTAATGATGTAAGCTGAAAAAAGTGTATTTATAGCCCCTTTTTCCTGCAAAAAACACCCTCTCTTTTGAGTATTTCATTACAACTGGAACAAAACAAAGTGTGATTCTTGAGACGGAGAAGGATCGACCCTGCCTTTGTCCGGAAAGACCAAAGCCTGCTGCAAAACAGAAGGAGGAAATTACAAAAACCTTAATAATCAGTATTATAATGGGGAAAAAAATTGTGATGTCACAGTTATGTGAGTCTTGCCTTACTTCATTACCATGCTAGCTAACCGTGCAGATGTGAATGAAAATATGTACAAATATATATATAAAGTATTAATGTAAACATTAAAAAAAAGAATAATTCAACAGGTGTTTACATTCATGTGGTCATATGGGAGAGAACTGTGATGAAGCATAAATTGCAAAGCAATGATTTCCTAAAAAATGAAATCAACAAAATGAAAAAAAGATCCTCTGGTGTGTGTACAGTGTTTATTTGTTATTTGTTTCGAGCAGTACTTAAATTATGTCGTGAGACACTAAAATCAAGAAGGAATCACACTTAAGATATTAATTTCTATCTGTGTCTGCTGGCATTTAAACTTTTGTTTTTTTAAGCATTGCTGTATAAGGGTTTTGTTTCACTTACAACATTTTTTGTAGATTTCCTCTCCTTTTTTATTTACAGTGCTTTTACCTTTTTGATGTACAGTATGTCACTGGTTACGCTTAATAATGAAGATAATTTATTGCGTGTCTGGGTTTCCATCTTTGTGTTACATGGCGTGAGGTGTCCATGCCAGAATAAATTTGTTTTCTGTAGCATGTTCTCGTTTTGTTTCCATAATTAGTTCAGAGATGCAGATCTGGAGCTAAATAGTGGGCTTTAAAAAACTAAAGAAATCACCATATTTTTTGTTGTCCTTTAAATGTTAATGCAAGTCAAAAACATGGAAAAGGATATTGCATTTAAGACAGTAGGTGTGAAAGATGTTGGAATTTTTTTCCCTCAATCTGCATCAATGTTTTTTCCGGTTTGCTCTTATACCAAAGACGGCATCTTTCCCCCTTGGAGCTGTGACTTCTAGTACTGTGTCGAAAATGGCTTTCTTTTTTTAAAAAGTGGCACCCTAAAGTATTTTCATGTGGAACTTTTCACATGTACCGTTGTTGTTACTGTTTTTTCAAAATGTCCCAACGCTTGCCTCCCACAAAGACTTATGGTTATTTGTTTACCTGTCAACATCTTATCAATTAGGCCGTAGAACAATCTGAAGTCTTTCAATGGCATGTTTATTGTACAGAAAATTAACTTAAAATCCCATGTTATTAAGCAATTGATGCTCTTGATCTATTTTCTGACACCCTCATCAGACAATATTTTCATCAACAACTTTCTCAAAACCTGTGTTGAGAATAAGACATGCACATTAATTTGGTCAAAGCTCCATTCGCAACAGCAGGCTTTTTCTAAATCAAATTTAGTAAAAGTAAAAAAATATATGCATTTTGTCAGAAAGTATCTATGTTAAAGTTTGCTACAGACCAGTCTGTAACTTAAGATTAACTCTTTAGAGACATGCTTAAACAAGGAATGTATTCATTTATGTATTAGCATTCACATGCACCTACGCTGTCAACACATGGATTCACAATGGATCAAAATGCTATTTCCCTTCTGCTTTTCTATGACTTGTGTCCCCCATGCTGATATCCTGACTGCCCCTATTATGGACCCTGTCATTGGGAGTGTCCCTCTGAGACTAATTTAATTTTCACTCATATTTAAATAAATAATTGTTATGCTTATAACTCCAGATTCTGGCTTTCTGCGGGAACCTTTTTTTAGTCCATGCTAAAGAGCAGGGACTTTCCAGGGGAGAAAAAGGTTCCAATTTCTGATTGGCTGGGCGAATTGCAAACCAAGCCCTGTAAAACTCTGAAAGGTTTTTGTGAAGCCACCATTTTATTTCCTTGCATTGGCATGAGCTACTCGCTCATACTTTGAATAACTTAGGAATAAGATCAGATGGGAAATAGGATGAGTTGTTTTACTTTAATATTAGGTACTTTTCCCAGTATAGTTCCGATTGTTGTTGAAATTTTGCGTTCACACCAAAAAAATCTGGAACCAGAACTTAGTTCATGAGAACCTTTTCACCCCCCTTTTACTCCCTGCTAGAGAGCAGGGACTTTCATGGGAGAAAAAGGTTCCCATTTCTGATTGGTTGGCCGAATTGCAAACCACGCCCCGTAAAACTCGGAAAAGTTTTGTGAAGCCGCCATTGTATTTTCTGGCATTAGCATTATTAGCATTAGCCCAGCGCACCAACGGAGAGAGACCAACTTATGGCAACACAAAAAAAGAACATGGGAGCCGTGGAGGGATGAGGAGGTGTCTTTGTTCTAGCGATTTACTCGGAAGGGACTTCCGGCCGGGGACTTCGGGTGGCAGTATGATACGCCGTGAAGTTGTTTGCGGCCTGCCAGTAAACCCAAAGCAGAAGAAGAAGTGATGTCAGCGGCTTCATTTGCCTTATCCTCCCTCGGGGACTTATTCCGGTGTTAACGCGATCTGCTCTTTAGTTCATCAGAACTAAAGAGTTCTGATGAACTAAGTACTGGGAACTAAGTACGGCAAAGTACTTGGTGTGAAAGCGCCTATTGTTGTCATTCTTTCATGCCACTTTATTTAATAGTTTGAGAGTAGAGTGACAGGAAAGCAGGGGAGATAAAAAGGAATGGCATATCATAAAGACTCAATCTGACTGACATCTCACACTGACTGGTCACAAATAGGGCCCATTACTCAGTTTATGTATCTGAATGCAGTTCTACTGCACACTTTACTGGACGATATACAGTAACACTAACAAGCAGCAAGTGAAGCCATGAAAAATAATACAAGCATAAGAAATGCAAAAAACAATAAACTTTTAATTGACGCATTTTAGATTAAAGTTATAATTGAGGCCTTTAGCTCACATTATTATGCAGCGCATCTTAAAAAAAGAACAATGTTTAAAGCAAAGAAAGCCCTAGAAAACTGAAAATAGTTACAAACAGTACAAAAGTACAGTATGCACTGATAAAAACACAGATGGGCTGCATCTCTACAGGGATCATAAGTGAGAAAATAGCTATAATACAAGGAAAACAATTCACCAGCTTTGATACGAAAAAATTAAACTTCAATCACAGTCACCAGCCAGGTCAGTCCATGTGGACGAGGCCATAGCTTATCTGAGTCGCAGGACTTCGGGGGAAACAGGAGGCGGTAAACTCCAGCTCCATGGGAACATGAAGACTACAACCAGCCGGCAGGGCATCCCCCTCTGAGGAACCAGGCTCCTGGATAGGAAAAAGGGATTCAAGTGACATAAATAAAATATATTTATTTACAACGTAATAACAAAGTCATACAATTCACTGGTAGATTTTAGGACAAGGCAGGTACATTTAACAGTTTATCTGTATAACGTTAAATTACAGCATGGAGTATCTGTAACTAATAGGTATTTTTGGGTGTTAATAAAGCACTATAATAAAAAATAAAACCTTCCTCTTAAAAAAGGTGTAATTTGTTGAAAGACACTAAAATACGCCTTAACTTATTTTACACTTGCTTTACGTTCCAGTGTTTCAGTATAGGATAAGACTGCTTGCATCTATTTCATTTAAAGCTTGCTATCAAACAGCCTCACTTAGAAGATTTAACTAATTAAACGTCTTTTCAAATCATGAATTTATGCAATAGTAAGATATTTCCCCCAAATCTATATAACATTTTAAAATCAACCCATTATTTAATGTTTCATGCATTAATCAGTAATGCAATTGAAGACTTTAGGTCTATTACCGGAAATGATTTAATAACAAAAGCAATACAACTTAAAAAAACTGTGCAATGCCAACTTTTGACTCCCTCCCACAACGGGCACATATGTTGGTGTTAATGATAATTAGATCTTTATTATTTATTAAAACATACTTCTGCTATTACAGAGTGATTTTTAGCTCAATTTTATTGAATGATCTTAAGACCAGTTTTTGGGAAAAATACATCATAATCAGTTGCTCATATTTAAAATAACAGATAAAATGTAGCCTAATTGTTCGGATGTCAAAATACAGCATACAGTAACCATATAGCTTTGAAGGATTCAGCCTGCATTTATCTATGTTGCCATCAGTCTAATGGTTCAGATTGTTTGTATTACCCAATAAATACAGTACATGTATACAATTTGCCCTGCTCTTCAGAAAAAATCATTTAAAATCATAGCCCACTGGTTTAAACGTGTCTTTTAATAACCAAACTTTTGAAAATCTATTGTTTTTCAAAGGTTTTTTTTTTCTTCCTGATGCAAATTTTATGAGGGATTATGCGATTGCTGAGGAGTTGATGATAATGTTCTTGTGCAGCATTAAGGATGCTGGTCACAGCCTGGCAAGAGGCCAGCTCCATCCCCGGTGCAGGGTTGCAATCCTCACTTGGAGCTTGGCTTGCAGTGCCTGGCCTCCTGTCTGTAAATGTGTTAAACCTGCTTTCACTTGCCCTGAATTTGTATAAATAATGTATATACATTTATCCACAGACTCTAACAAGTGCAGCCTCAGGTGAAAATACTCAGAAATGCATGCTATGCGCATCCCCGAAGGTGGACATCATCTCCAAACCGACCGACTCAAAAGATAACCACACAGAGAGGAAGAAAAAAAAGGAAAAAACACAAATGAATAACTTGCCAAAAGCAACAAAAACACACAGTTTTTCTTGCACACATATGCAGTGCTGTCAGATTCTAAACAAGTTTTCCTTTCCGTCACACAAACAGCCGCAAGTTGTGTCTGCCAGAGTGATGAGAAGCTTTTAAACTCTGGAACCACATCACTCGTGTTTACCGAGATGCGCTTGTATGCTTCCGTGCATTGTCAAAGCGCAGTCAAAGATAAAGAGATTGAGGGCACAAGAAAAAACAAACGCTTTTGGAAGTGTTCCAAGATTGCAAGAAAAATGTGCAACTGAACACTAGAATAAGCAAGTTTGGTATTCAGTCCTTTATCAGGCAGGACCGGAGGCTTAGGAGGCCTGAGAAAAGCTGAACCTGTCTAAATAAATGAGCCGCCCAGCGCCACATGCTGGATTAATCACTGACATCTTTAATAGACTATAACATTGTATGCATTATTTATTCAAATTTCTATTCTTCCTTATTAAAAACTTGTTTACAAGCAACTACCACATGTTTTAACACAAGGTTTGCTCATTCTATACGGCTGGGTTTATTATATAATTCTAGGTTAAACATTTGAATGTATAATAGACTATTTATTCTCAACTCAGTATACAGCAGCTCTATATTTTTGCTGTATTTTTCCGTCATAATAAAAAATTACCTTACGATTAATTCAATATAACATTAGGACATGAAATCACCAAAACAAGCAGTGGCATAGCAGGGAGAAATTCAAAGCTTTAAGAAAACTGAGACTAAGATTTTTTGAAACTGGCAAAGTGTATAACATTCAATCAGATTTGGTCATAAAGCTGGGTGCAAAAAAAGATATCTGCACTTTGGCAGCGGTTGGTCCTACTATCTGACATTTTATTTAGATTTTGTAAACTGTTGGATCAACAAACTCTTTAGGTTTTTATGGTTTTATAATATGGAAAGAATCTCCAAACCAAGTAAAGGAAAGATTTTATTGATGAATAATTTGTTTAATCATGTATTTTTGAGTTTTAAATCTGGCAAAGGCAGCCCAACTCTTCAGAGAGGCAATTAGCCAACTTTCTAATCACTTCTACCAAAAAGCAACTGGGGGACCCATTGTTTGGCGGCCTGATGGACACACTTTAAAAATGTAAAGATCGAATTAATAGGCAAGCATTGTTAATGGGAACACTCACTATTGTTATGCAAAAGACTCACTGTGGCATGCAAAGCAAATACACTAAGGTTTGGAGATGGAATGGTTCGAAGGCCGCTGCCGTTTCATTTCAAAGCATGCATTATACATCATTGTGCATAAAGAGGAAGCCTACAGCATTATGATGTTTTTTTTCCACGATGATTATCCTTTATTAGTCATTAAAAAGGGAGCGATAGAGAGAGAAAAATACAACTTTTAAGCACCTGAACCTCGCTGCCAGCATTCCATTAATTGCCTCCACAATGGGGAGAGCCTTTGGAGATTTTTCAATTTAAAAAAATGAGGAGCATGCATTCAGTCGTGCTCATGTTATACCAGCACTTAAATCCTACAGAGCTCACATAAAAAAGGACTCAAGGTTGCATCCGATTGAAAGCCTCCAACTACAGCCACTTCAGAAATCCATTTAGCAAGTGGGGGGTTAGAACATCTAATTCAAACAGAGTCGCCCTGTTAAAACGGTTGCACCAATGTCTTTTAAAAACACACACACACAAACACAAACACAAACACACACACATTTTCAGGCACACACTTTTCTTCTGTGTTTGCTTGGCTCTATTGTAGGGAAAGATTAACCTTGCACATAGAGAGATGACACAAAGAATTAATCTTGCCTGACCTCAGCCAAGTGGCGGAGGTGAATGCTTGACTACACGTGGAATGTTGACCTTTGCTTCGACAGTATCAAAACGAGTGCTCCAAGGGAACGACAAAGAAAGAGGTCTGCGGTCATATTAGTACACGTTGACCTGAATCTCTACACACTGTTCTTTGGCTGCAAAAACCTTGGTATTGACAATGTTTGCTCACAAAAAAAAGCCAAAAGGAATTACTGAATTTTAAAAGCAGAGACAATAAAACAAATATATATATTTAACCAAAGCAACAAGGGGATGGAAAATATAGTAGCTACATAGGTGATTTTTCCTTTTTAGGGAACTGATGAAATATTACTACAATGTGAATGCTTGAGCGGCTCCGTGCCATTGCAATTAAGGGTCATTTATATTAATTTATTTGTTAATGTCACAGCCCCTGTATAGCTGCTTGTACTTATAGTTGAGGATTAACAATAGAAAAAAGAAAAGTGGATTGTTTTGAGTTTGCTGTTTTGATCCTACTCATGCTAACTAATTAAACACTTCTGCTATACTCGTAGTTTCTAAGAAACTGTTTTAAGGGCTGAAGGAACATTTGTCACTTCTCTCGTCTCCAAGAAAAGACTGCAGACTATTGTTCAACCGCATTAAATGTTTCTGCACTCAACAGTAAAGGTGTTTTGGCAGAGAAAAGCGATCTACATATAGGAAATCAGGACACCCACACAGGCCCGGTTCCAGAATAAAATGACTCAGGGTGCATCTGAGATTAGAGAGGGTGCAGTGGTAAAGTGCTATTTTTATAAGTGGGGAGTGGACCCAACACCCTCTAGGGGGGTCCTCACCTCCTCTAGGAGGGTCCTCATTTCCTCTTGGGGGGTCCGGGGGCTTGCTCCCCTGGGAAGATTTTTTTTTAAATATTGAAGTTAAAAGCATCAATCTGGTGCACTTTGAGAGCAAAATTAAGAGATCTATGTCTATGCTCTTTGCTTGATTCATGCCTTCCCAGTCCCTTATCACGTAGCCTATAAGAGCATGGCGCCAGTTGTTGTAGCCAGTTGTGGTGAAGGAATCTGACTTACTTGAACCGAAATGTCTACATGCATAGCAGAAGATGGCATCTTTTTCACATGAATATTCCAGCCAATCTCTGTTTTGAAACCATGAGCTGCAAAATGAGCGCCTTACCCCACGGTACAGGCGAGTTGGGTACTTTTTTAAATATACCTGTGCAGGCTCTGTTTTGCTGAGGTCCTCTGGCACTTTCGGGCCGCTGAGGGGTGGCGGTGTTTGGGGCAATGAAGACGGCTGCGGCTGCTCCGCCTCCGTGGGCGAGGCGGGCAAAACCGGCGAGTCAGGCGTTAGTGTCCACGAAAGTGGCCGCGGGTAACGTAATGTCCCCATGACCTGAACTGTTATTACCTGCAGTAGATGCAGGGTTACTTCTGGCGATAAGGGCTGGTTGTTTTAACCATTTTCTGATGTCCATCATTGACTGCTGTGTAAGCACCTTGCAGATGACGAACGCGCAGCGGCACAGGTCTCGCACACCTGACATAATAACGTTACTTACCATTTAAATTGACCAAATAAATGCAGCAGACAATGTTATTTAACCACAATTACAATTTATTTTATTTCAACAAAATTCTTATTCTTATTATTATTGTTATTATTATTAATATTATTATTATTATTATTATGTATGTAATATTTTTCACTTTTCATTTTTCAAATGAGGGTGCACCCTTATGCACCCCCGTAGAACCGGGCCTGCACCCACACGCTGCCACGTCCTGCTTATTTATGTAT